TATTTTTTATTAAAAAATTAATACTTTTTTTTTATGTTTGCAGGCAAATTTGCCTGCTCTACAGTTTAAGGGATAATGAAAATCATACTATTGTACAAGAGCAAAGTCAAAAGATGAATAACCTTTGATTATAATGTTAATCAACATAAGAACCTATATAATATAAGTTATTTGTCAATTATTAATCATGTAGAATGTCAATTTATTGATAGAATAAACACATTACCTTGCCAAAATAAACACTCTCATATGTATTATAGTCTTCAGACTCTTCCTTACTCATGTTAATCAACATATTACTAAATGATGACTCATTATAATATATACTATTCGCTCTGATACAATCACCACTTAAAGAGATATTAGCATAACTATATCATCTAATTTTAGCTTCTCTAACCATTTCTTCAGATAAATTATTACACAAATCAAAAAATTCATTTAATGCTAGAATAAAATGTTCTAAAGCTATTAAAGCTTCATTAGCCAAATTATTTTTAGATTTGTAATTATCAAAGAACGTATTGAAATCTTTTAAATAAAAAAAGCCTAACAAGCCGTTCATCAGAGTTTTTTGTTGACGTCTCTTGATAACTGTATATTGACGCATATATTTTAAAGTTACGTTTCAGTAAACCTACATATAAATAATGTCATTTTGTTTACATATTATTAATTATATATATCATGCATAAACTAATCATTTTAATCATCTGGTCTATTGTTAGTGCTTATTGCTAGCTCTATAGGATTTTTTAACAGCATTTTTATGTAAAGTTTTGTATGTCTCTATTGTAAACCCGTTAATGGTACCATATTCTTCAATTGATGAAATAATATGATAGCGTCAATTATGTAACTTTGGCAACTTGAGTTTCAATGGTGAATATTTTTGAAATAGCTTTACAAATAATATTGCACAATTTGTAACTAGATTCTATAATAAAATAAAAGCATTAATCCTAAATATACAGTACATAAAATATAAATGCTAATCATAATACCTTAAAATTGTCTAATTCCGATTCTAAAAAATACTCTTGATGGCTGTATAAATATATCTTATTTTAACAATAATATACATCAACTAATGCTTTATTTGCTCGTTTGGCACGATTTGCGGTTATTATTTCTTTGTGATGTTTTATGATGATCCCTTCAATAATGAAAATAAACACCTTCATCATATTATGAAACTCATCAGCTATAAATCGCTTGATGTTTTCAAGGCCATTCTTGAATATTTTGAGGCTAGAAAATCTTGGAATTTTAGCTAGTCGGTTGTCAAGTTCATCGACCACTATTTGACCACACAATTATTTTAGTAGTTCTCTAGTGTAGGTCACTTGGTAGTTGAATAACCTTAAGTCAAGGTGATGCATACGATCAGGAATCGTTGTCACATAAATATTTAATTGACTAAGTATAAAGAATAATACGTTAAATATACTGTATAACTTGATGCATAATTTACTGCAATCTAATATTATACAGTTATACTTACAGGTATTTCCAAAAAATATTCTCCATATTATGTAAAGAATACTGTTGCGCAACACCTTGTTCAACAAAATCTTTCATAGTATCTGGTGTCTTCAAAATAATTTGATCGTCTGATAACTCTACATTATTTAATTTATCACCTTCTACTAAATACTTGTGATATGAGTGTTTACAATTAACAAAGTTAAATGTTAAAGTCACTACAGCATTTTCTGGAAGATCTTCTAGCATCACAGAAATAAATGAATAATATCATAGTTCATCATTATCCGTTTAAAGATCAAATCCATGGTTTTTATAATCAAGCAATGGATGTATTAATATATCTAAAGCGTATTGGTAAAGAGTACACTTTGCTAATTTAAAGCCTTTAGATCTTTTTTGAGAGATAGATTTTGCCTTCAAAATTGGAAGATAACCTAATAGAACTTTAGCATCAGGTTTATTTCTGCGCTAACTAATTATATTGCCTAATATCAAAAAATTAGATGTTTACTAGACTTGCCCAAATGGTCGCAAGTTATCACATCAGAATACAGGATGATAGACAAAACCTTTGCTCCTTCAGGAAGTGACCCTTATACTCTTTCCCACCATTTTCCATTATATTGCTCATGATAAATTCTCTGCCCGTTATGATATAATAGTATAAATTTAAAGATACAATTGTCATATATTTCCTGGTTGCTTAACAGTTCCTTTACAGCATCAAAAATTTAACGGTAACGAAGGTAGTATGTTGTTTTCTCATATATTATTATGGGCATTTTTTTAAAGAAGATATGCAATACATTTATTTAATCTATTAATCGACGGCTTTGCTTAACAGAAGTGGATAATCTTACATCATCTCAGCAAATTTTACATGAAAATTTAAGTATATCGCTTCCACATGCATCAGATAAATTCCACTTTGTAATCAATTCCATAAAATCTCCAAACTTTTCACTCATTAACTTAGGCCTATTTGTTATTGAACTACTAATATGAAGAGACTCAAAGACTGGTGTAGGTTCAATGTTAATTAACATATGCTTTTTATATTAAATACAGTAAAATATTAATTGTTAGTTTAAATAATGACGTTGATCATTAAACATTTTGTACTAACTAAATATTAAATAAATGGTATTGATGCATGCATCAAATTTTTTGTACTATTATTATTTATACTATAAAGTAGTTTAATTAATGAGAATCTTACTTGAATATCATCAATCAAATCTTTTTCTTTCCTTCTTCCTCATCTTCTTTTTTCTCTTCTTCAATGTCTTCATAGTGGCTAACTAACTCTTCTTTTACATATTCTTCTATATCATCTTCATTCTCTTCTTCAACATTAATCAAATCTTCATTGGAGTTAAACAACTCTTCTTCTCTCCCCTCTTCTTCTTTATCTTCAATAATTTGGTCTTCGTAGTTCATCACATCATCACTTTCTATTAGGTTATTTTGTATCTCTTCTTTATTTGCTTATTATATATTTTCTTCAACAATTTCATCTAAAATTCTATCAATTAAACTATCATGAGTTTTTATGTGATTTTTTAAAGAATGACGAGAGAAAGTTCTTTCGCATTGTAGATATATGTGTTACATTTTTGTAAATGATTTATATTTAAAGAGGTGAAATATTCAGTATCAAGAATGAATAAAATTTTCATTTTTTTATTTAATTAGCTGCATCAAGTAACAATGGTGAAAGTGACGTCAAATAAACAATGATCATTGTTAAACCATCAACAATTATAAAAATGATGTCAAGTAACAATAGAATATAAAAAAATATGAAATCATATTTAGTATTCTGTATTATAACATGAAATATGATTTTTGCGATGGTAATATATTAATACGTTTATTAATGTAATTTTTAATTTCGTGTAATTTTTTAATTTTACATTTATTAATATAGTTTCTGACTTTTATGATGGCATGATATGAACTAAATTTAGGACTGAATTCAAGCGTTTATCAACGATAATATAAGTTATATATTTATTGATGCAATTTCTATAAAGGTATGATGATGTATTTACTGATGTTTTATGTAATGTATTACATTTTTAAAATTAATAAAAGAAAAACGAAAACGAGAATAAATAGCTTATTCTTCATATCATCCTTTACTAGAAAAATATAATTTTCAATTTTCAAGCAATAACCCAAAAATGAGTGGCAGCCAAGACAGATTTACTATTGGTACATTCTCTTTAAAACGTTTACAAGTTAAAAGATCAAAACGTTTGAGTAAAGATATAATTATATTCGTTATTAATTTTATATACGTTTATTTAAATTTACTTATATCTATATATTATATTTCTCTAGATATCAGGAGATGATATAAAACAATTCTACTTTATTTTATTAAATCTTAACAAACACACTAATCAATAGTTACAATAATAATAAAGCATCTGAAGATAATATAGGAGTAGTTCTACCAAAAAAGACCTGTATTAAAAATATCAATTTATTTTCTAATAATAAATTGATGCCTGTTGCTATTGATGATACTACCACTATCTTCACACCCGTCAGACCCACACCAGCCAAGCCTACGATCTTCACACCTGTCAAATTCACCACTATCTCCACACTCGTCAAATCCACTACCATCTCCACTGCTATTACCAAGAAGCCAAATATCAAGTCTAACACCATTACCTTCACCACTAAAAAAATCATCAAGCCCAATATCACTACCTTTACCCCTAAAAAAATCACGCCTTCTCAATTAATAGTGAGTTTTTATTATTTCATTTGATATCTTTATATTAAATTGAATTTTTAATATATTTATCATATTTTTATATCAGTTAACGGAAATGCAATTGGCTAGCACCTTGTCATCTTCATCATGAATGAAAATACAATCAACTGGTGTTTTATTATCATTGTTATCGCATCTACCTACGTAAAGCAAAAAAACTGTCGAAGGTTCGAGTTTATAATATACGTTATAAATATATTTATTGCATGATATTTATCATTATTAATATATATATATTTATCATAATTAGCTACTGTTAATTCGTGTACTTTAGATAAATTGTTGCTGCTCTGCCAAAAGAACAGTGCGAAGCATGATCAAATTTCAAAAAGATAAGACGAGTTAGAGACGATTATTATCAAGCAAAAAGATAAAATTGATAAAATTTTATCAAAATTCGAAGAGCATAAATTCAATACAGAAATCAGAAACAGCAAAAAGGAGGGTAAAGATAAAGGAAAGAAAAATAAAATCAAATTTTATCAAGTAAACATATGTATGATTATTATTATTTCTTTGTTTTACTTTATTTTGATTTTAATTATCAACTTAATTTATATTACAGGAAGCGATTTGAAAATTATCCTATGAGTTATTTCATGAACATAAGCAACTAATAGATGATGAACTCAAAGCACGCCTAAAGGCGAAATTAGATGGTGATAAATATTGCATAAATCAGCTTCGAAAACTGAAAGACAATGACATTAGTTACGACGATCTATAGGATAAAAAGCTATATTTGGCTGTTAATATTTTTATTTATATTTTTAGTTGTCATAATTTATGTTGTTTATTAACTAATAATTTATTTAAATAAACTAAAGTTGCTTAGAGTGAATCGTATTAAGAAGGGGTACTATATTCACTGTATAAAAGAAAGCCTAAGGTCTGTCTTCAGGTTTAACAGGATTAAGCCCTTTGGAGACAACTAGTTCAAGAAGCAAATAAAAGATTGGAAAACAAGCAAAGAGATAAAAGCAGTATATGATGATCTATATTGCCCAAGTGATCCAGATGACCTATCATCAGACACATATATCACGTTGATCATCAAGTCTGCTTTTACATCTAATAAGAAACTAACGCGAAAAAATGCTGTTTAGACTCAATCAGTGCTCGAAATAATTTTTAATGTTGAATATCTTTCGACGAAAATTGATACCGAAGTGATTGAGTTGTGAAAAGATGTTATTGAACGTAACGAACAGATAACATTATAAATATTTATTGCTTCATAAACTTTATTTCTTATAATGTTCTATCTTTAATTAGGATGATGAGAATGAGCAGTATGAGGAGGAAAAAGAAGTACAGGATAGCCCGCAACACAGTAAATATGCTTCCACTGATAAAGAGTTATACGATCTTTATCAAAGCCTAGAAAATGATGCGAATTTTATGGATTAAATGTGTTTAATACCTTTAATTATAAATTAACTAATGTTACTTTATGATGTATTGAAATATATATGCATTTTAGCGTAGAAATTTATAATAAAAATTACCATAAATTACAGTGATTGCTTTTGTATTTTTGCGTCAAACAATATATTAATCAATACTAGTATACTTGTTTTTTAACACCGTCATGTGATACTATTGTTTCACTATGTATTGTTTTACATCTAACATGTATTAATCAATGCTTTTTTAAACAGTGTTAATTGATATAGGGTTTGTATATTAACACTTTTTGGTGTTGATCAATACATAACGTATATTGACACATTCTATACCTATTTGAAACTTCCTGATGAAGTAAAATTAATAAAATCTGGTAATTTATTATAGGGCAGTATATATCTATATTTAATTAATTTATATCGTAGTAAGTAATTAGTTATAATAAGTTCATTTTATATAAATAAAATAGCTTTTTGCAAATTAACTTTTCTGTAAGTTTATTAACTCAATTATAAGTTTTGAAACTCTTTTGTGAATTTCAGTATTATAAATAAAGGAATCAATTTAAATCCATATAAATTTACTTTTTTTTTAACATTATTCTTAATTTAGAATTTATTATAATATCTTATACTAATTTACTATTAAATTCATTATTATGAGTTCGATTAATCTATCTTAAATTTTAAGATATGATAAATTGCCAAGTTGATTCAAGTATAATAGATACTTGTAAGACTTAGAGAAAATCCTAAGATTGGAAACTTCAAAGTAAAGAATTAACTGCTACAGTCTTTCAACTTAAATATTAAAATAACCAAAAATAAACCTGATGATAGTGTATTCTTAAAATAAAAATATTTTATCAGGTAAGAAGTTGTAAATCATGATAAGACTCAAATATAATGATACAAAATCTAAATTGGTTATAGATTAAATATTTTCAAGACCTTTTACTAGTAAGAAAATATAAGTATTTTAGTATAATTCTATTTTTTATTTGTTTACATGAAATTGTTTTAGTTAAAATACTTTTTTATCATGCATTAGCACTTAAAAGATTGCTTACTTTTATTCTTACTACGAAATAATATGCATCAAATAATGATAGAAAAGCTATGCTTGCAACCTTCCTGTATTTATTAATTATATTGTACTTAATCATTAACACTAATAACTAAGGATATTAATAATACAATATTTAGTTATTTTGCATATTTTTTAGCTATTATAACATCTGCTTCTTTAATGCATTTTTTGTAATACTTGAATATATAGTTAAAAGGTATATCTAATTTACTTTTAAGTTTGCATTCGTTTAGGTAGAATGCTAAACTACTCTTTTTAACCTTAAAATAAAATTTCTTAAAACAGAATCAAACATCAATAGCTATATATCCAAGAATTTTAAGATATTTCAAATAGAAGTTTTTATTATTAATTTTTATCTTATTATATTGATATTATCATTTTTGAAACTTAAAAGTTTAATAATATATAATTGAATATCTATTCAAGAATCTCTATTTTTTAACTTTCTTTATAATAAATCACTAATTATATTGTAAATCATTAAAACCTATTTGTATATCCAGAAATAAAGTTTTGAATATAAGGTAAATACTTTTAATAAATTAATATGAGATCTGCATATAATTGTAGTCTAAGTAGATCTGACGTAATTTCAACATCGATAAAACAAATTTGTTTTAATAGATTAGGATTATCTTTTTAATGAACTAATATGCAGATTATAAATACATTAAATTCATCATTATGTGTAGTAAGAAATTTATCTAGTTCAAGTGAACTATATATCTCTATATCCTATATAAGAATAAGAGTTTAATTTTTCGTAAGCATTAAAAAAATTAACAGATTGTTATACTCATTATTATTTATTAGGTTGTAATTATTTATAAATACCTAAAAGAAATAAGTATTTAGTGATAAGTTTTTGATATATTTATATAAATAGTTGTTTAATACTGTCTAACTTGAAAGAGGTAATCCATCTTTATGGGCTACTTTGTATTCATAATATGTAGGATTTAAGTAGTACTAATACAAACTTTATGAACTGCTTTTAATATATTATACTGATCAAAATGATTTTATGTTTTTACACAAATATATTACTTCTTCTCTGTATAATATTCTCAAAGTGAAAAAATGCTAATAATTTTGATCCTAAATTTTGATACACTTCTGAGAATATTAAATAATATGCAGTATTTACTAATTTGATCTTACATATAGATAGTATATTTCTTTAGGTATTATAATATTAAAGAAAATTTAATACTCATAATATTCACAATAGTCTTTTATTATTAATTAAATAATTATTAATATACAAAATATAAATAAACATTCTATTAATATATTCAGCCTTATCACTTACAATAGTAGATATAAAGTATATAAGTTACTTATTAAATAAGCATTGTTGAAGTATAGCAGTTATCTCACTATCATATTCTACTATAATCACATTATATAATAGAATACTAGCTAAAGAGCCAGTGTCATTATAGCAGGTAGTTTCAATGTGATCAGTTTAGTCAGAAATAATTAGAGTATATATATTATTAATTCAAAAAGTTATAATAACACAATTAATTTTTTTTAATAGATGTAAAAAAAATGTATAACAGGTTGGCAAAAAAATTGCGAATAAATATATTCTTAATAGGTGATATTTAGAATAGTCTTCTTTAAAAATATTATATATCATAATAGAAGAAGACTACTTTATTACTAGTATATACTTCAAATATGATATGTAGTCTTCTTCAGAAATATTATATAAAACTTGGAAGGTTACACCTTGATGGTATGTGATTAGATACAATTCAGATATAAAGAAGTCTAGATATATATTAGCAACAAATAGACAATAATTAGATTGTAGAATATCATACTTTTTAGCAATCAAATAGACTGATCATAGTAATGTATATTACACCTTTAACTTTGAACGTGAAATTGGCATACATATATTGATAACAAATAGGTAATAGTTAGGTTGTAAGATTAGCATACTTTTTGGTAACCAAATGGGCTAACTATAATAATACCTATTATATTTCTAATTCTTAAACAACTGATTATTAAACTAGACTCTTAAAAGTAACGAAAAAGTATCAGAAAGGTTCTAAAATCTAAGATGCAGTAAATTTTCATTCAATTTTAGCTGATACTATAATATAATTTTGACCAGAATAATAAGATGCAAAAATGGTAAACATATACTAGCAACTAAGTGATATACATATATTAGTAATTAATAGGTAATAGATAGATTACAAAATAATGCACTTTCAGTAAGTAGATGAGTTAACTATAGTAATGTATAGTTTTTTATTTTATATTTTAAATTCCTGATCTGTGGGTTAGCAAAAGTCACGTGACCAGTATAGTAGATATAGTAAAAATTTGTTTAAATTTAGCTAGTACTATTCTCTAATTTCAGATTTACATTAGACATAATATTTCAATTTTAAACTGACCTAAAATTGGCAAATTAATAGAAATACTCTGGTTCTCTCTTTTTTTTTTTAACGATATGATACTGTCTTAAGTTTATTATATTTATGTTAAATTATTACAAATAAAAATAGAAATAAAAAACTAATTTATAAGTAAAACAATAAAAAATTAAACTAAGATTATCCTCTGTGATTCTGTTACAAACCTGTTTGGATTGACCAATCACTGGAATATCTTTCAGAAAAAATCAAAAGATCCATATCTAATGATTAACTCCTCAACAAGATATTCAAATGAAACTGTCAGTACTATCTAAGAAATCTATCCAAGAGAAACCAAATTTGATTGCTGATAATATTCAATCTGACCATATTGATGATATTTGTTTAGAAATTTTTGTAAGGATTGAACATTTTATCTTAATTTTTTTCTTTTTTAACCTTTTAAAAATTCCTAATTTTCTTTTTTCTTTAATCATTTTGTTACACCTGGGGATCCAAATATTATCATAAAAGACAGTGGTAAAAAAGTTTGAGGTATCTATAAAAATGTTTCTGACATTAGAAGGGGAGAACAGTTCCTTTAACAATGTTAACATATTGTTAGGGATTATTCCTTTGGCCAAATAAATGCAGGTAGTGGAATGGAGTGAAGGGTTCAAGTATTCTATTAGATTCTCTTTCATAGTAAGATAGGAGTTAAGTCTATAATCATTCTGATTAATTTTATCAATGATAATCTTATGAAGAAATTCATATGTTGATATACGAATATTAATAATATTTTGTATTCTATTTGGACAATTCCATAAATGATTATAGTCTTCATTATATTGTTTGCAGAAAATACATAACCAGTTTTATATAGATCAGGATGCCTAACTGAGAGTCAATCTAAAGTGAGTAATTCTTTGATCAATGATTTTAATTTAAACTCTTTCTTCATCGTTAAGTAAAAGAGGTGACAGTAGAATTATCACCCATATTTGAAGTGAAGACAGAAAAAGAAGTAGGTCAATGAATATCAGAAGAAAGAATATATTGAGTTAATGTGAAATTTCGGTTGAGATCTATGAAGGTTAAGAATTGTTTAGCAGCATTCATATGTTTTCAGAATTTCTAATTGAAGATTTTATAGGAACTTAGTTAAAGTTGACAAGAAGTTGTAAATCTTCAAAGGCTATATAATTAATAGTTAAAGGTGGTATAAAGCATTCAGCTTTTGCTAAGGCATCAGCTATGTTGTTGTAATAATCTCCTGAGTGATCTTTGACTTTTATTAATTTGACTAAAAGTTGCAGTTCATTGATAATATGTGTAACTAATGTCCAAATATTGTAATTAGGTATTTTTTCACGAGTTCTTGTTGTATAATTATTGTTTAAACAAAAGTTATTGTATTTATCAATAACTGCTTGGCTGTTAAGGAAAATTGTTGGTGAAGATAATTGAAGGCAAATAATTAGAATAAAAAGAAGGGCAAAAAGTTCAGCTCTAGTAGATGAAGGAGAA